TAGACATTTAAGAGCCATTCAATTCAATCCAAAATATCATTCAGATGGGCTCTTGGGATAGAAAGCAGCGCTCCAGACAAAAAAGTCAGTAGGGAAACAAATCAGTCTGATTTGTAAGTAAATCTCAGAGCGGTTGTGTGAACTGGATAAAATGATTCATTGAGAAGATCTGACTCAAAAGGAAGATTACTTCCTGAACAGGACATAATTTCTTCTCATGAAATATTTAGTGTAAACTTTCTTCAATTTGAAATTTACATTCTAGTAATCCCAATATTTGTTCCATAAATATTACTCTGTTTTGTAAGAATATTTCTGTCTGTTTGGGGAAATATATATATATATATATATATATATAATTAAAATTATAAAATTTTAATACATCACCAAAACTATGTTTCACTCACATATAATTGAACCATATTTAAAATATTAATATAATATTTAAAATATTTCAACGTTTTTTTTAATATGCTATGAATATGTATCTTCAAACCTGAAATATACATCACAGTTCAGTTTCCAGTTCATTTAATTCAAATATGAAAAATTGCTGTTTGACTGACTCATTAAAAAGAACTGAGTCATTTTTTCAGAAATTTGCCATTATGGCTTTGTTCTCTCTACAGAGATGATGTCTAACGAACCACATATGGATGCACACAATGATTTCTCAGTTGTCACTGCTGGCAAATAGATTTAAAATTTTTGTTGCACACACACAAAAATCTACTACCGTTCAAGATGAAAAACAGAGCTGAATTTCAAAGTTCTGGCCATCATTCTTGATACGTCACTTATAGCCTCGTCTTCCCCAGACGGCTTCACAATTCCAGGACATTTCAGCGAGGCAGTCAAACATAGAGTGCTAACAAAGTCCTCCACATCAGCAGTCAGCACCTCTATGAGAGATGACTCAAACATTATTTTATCTGTCTTCACATGGCTTACATTTCACAGAGTAAGACAATTACCTGTTGAAGGAATGGGATAGGAGGATAATACAGTCAGAAAGTCCTCAGGGGAAGGCAGGAGTGGATGTGGGGCAACCGAACATCCACATGCCCTGACATGCCCTCTCTGGATTAATTATGCAAGAGTGGGGATTATTTTCAAAAAACAGGAATACTGGCTCCGGAGAAGGGGGATGTCTACCAGGGACTGGACATGGAAAAGAATTCACTTACTCCCAGCATTCACTCCCTAAAATTTACAGGGCCCAGGACAAAGGATTTATGACTTCTCTCTAGGGCCCAGTGAATAGGCTAATCTATAGAGGACTTCCGTGGGGTCCCATGACCCGGGATAACATTTCCTGATTGGCCCCCTACCTAACAATAGCCCTGAGCGGTTTGTCAGGAAGGTGCAAAACAAGCAAGAACACAAACACTGAAGTGCACTGTACGACTTTTTAAATGTATGATAGATTATACCACGTGATCTGAAAGAGATAGACAAGGCAGATGTGATGTGTGTGTAGTGTTTCATACCAAATTTTACGATAAATTGTAGCCACAATTCATCGTTGAAAAAGCCGGTCGCACCCTTTACGAAAAGCCCTGGATGCGTCAATTTGTATTCAAGTTCTCAAGTTCATGGATAGACAAGGCTGATTGTTCGATGTGTACAATACTGCATGCCAGATTGTAGCCAAGACATACAGCCACAATTCCGTGTTGACAAAGCCAGTCGCACACTTTATGAAAAGCATCGCACGTGTCATTTTGTACTTGCATTCTCAAGTTCCAGACGCCAGCCCAAAACTGTGAATCTATTCGCCATACAGGTAAAAGTTCACTTCAGATGTGATGTGTTCAGTGCTTCATGCCAGACTGTACGATAAATTGTCACCAAGACATCCAGCCATGATTCAAGGTTGACAAAGTCGGTCGCACACTTTACAAAAAGCACTGGACACATCAGGGCGTTTACACCTGTTCACTTCATGCGTTTTCTCTGATTGGATAGCTGACATCTGATTTGCTAAAATGGTTCCATTTATACTTGGCCACATTAATGTGTCTACGCAAAATGGATATAAATCCGATCTTCAATTCCCGAACTATATGCAAAATTCACGTCGACGAAAGCAACATATATGCACTGCATTTTTTTCATTATCAGCTGATTTCGAGATCAAAGATCGCAGCAGCACTGGAAAAATAAGTTTGTCTTACTACTTTTAATGAAGATGATTGAGTGTTGAGCGTCTGCGACTTGCTTTCAGTTTCATTTGCGGCAGTTTGCGCGTTGGCTTGCTGAAGAGATACTCAGCTACTCATCCGCAGCGATGCGTGTTGCATTAGCGCTGTCATATCTGGCTATAACACTTCATATAGCCTATACCTGCTGAATGTTACCTTTCTTAAATTGACTTCCGTTTCATCCGTCATATCTACATATTATTCCTATGATGTCCGGTGTTCCCTTCTTTTCCTGTATTTTGTCTGACGTTATCCTCTGTATTATTGTTTGATGTTATCGCCCCCATGTCATTACCAGCAACCACATGTTTGCCTGTTTACCCGTTCCCAACCACTGCCAAGACTAGCGCCTGGTGGATAAATGAAAATAAACCGAATCCCAAGGGAAGTTGGGTGTTTTGTGGTTTGGTTGAGTGTTGAGAGCTCAGTCTCTAGGATACTCACGGGGAGGTGCTTGCGTTTGCGGCCAGGCCGTCCAACCTTGCGGACAGGAGTGCAGAGCGAAGGCATCTCGTCAATAACCACAGTGTCCGTTCTAGAGTTCTCATTCTAAACAGACAGAAATGAACATCAATTAACCATTATTGCTTAACCAAAGTCCTTACTGGCTCATATTCAAGCTCTCAGGCATTTAGTCATTTTGAGATCGATGGATAATAAAGAAAATATATTTTTAGTTCCATATATTTTTTAAAAAACTGCAGCTATTTAATTACTATTTAATTTTAAATTCACTGAATTTGACAATATAGTGATGAAAATATAGTGGCACTATATCAGTTATTGGCTGATAATGAGAATTTTTCAAATGTGCAATTATTGGATATCATTGGCTATTAACGATTATTGGATATTTACAATACAGTTCAAAAGTTTTGGGTGTTGATAAAATTTTTTTATGATTTTTAGGCTCTTTTAAGTCTTTTATGCTCACCAAGGCTGCATTTATTTGATCAAAAATACACTTGCTTTCAGTTTCATTTGCGGCAGTTTGCGCGTTGGCTTGCTGAAGAGATACTCAGCTACTCATCCGCAGCGATGCGTGTTGCATTAGCGCTGTCATATCTGGCTATAACACTTCATATAGCCTATACCTGCTGAATGTTACCTTTCTTAAATTGACTTCCGTTTCATCCGTCATATCTCCATATTATTCCTATGATGTCCGGTGTTCCCTTCTTTTCCTGTATTTTGTCTGACGTTATCCTCTGTATTATTGTTTGATGTTATCTTCACCTATTGGATGTTTATTGTAAAGTGTCCTTGAGCTCTGGAAAGGCGATATATAAATAAAACATATTATTATTATAACATGCTCTCACATGTTTATTATTTTAACAGTTTGGGAGGAGTAAAATTTACATATGTGGTTTCAACGACCAGATACATTACACTTGCCCAGTTTCGTTTGGAATGCATCCCAGAACACCTCCTGAAGTGGTTTGAGCAATCGGATTCGGTCTCGAAAGTGTTGTGAAAGGCATTTACACCTGGTCTTTTCACGATCTGATAGCTATCCGATTAGTGAAAACGCATGAAGTGACCAGGTGTAAACAGGCCCTCATTCTGTACTCACATTCTCAAGTACATACTATGTACTTACTACAGTGATTTCAATAACTGGGTTATAACTAGGTACTAACCCTGAACCTACCACTAAACCTAACCATAACCCATGTAGTTACCTTATATAACAGTACCTAAGAGCCAGAGGTAAGTATATTGTATGTACATGCAAGTACACATACTGTAAAATAAAGTGCAACCAAACATAGACTTCATTCATACCACAAAAAGACAAACGTATTACTGAAAAATGCACAATATGCAATCATCCAGCCTAGGGTGAAGTCAGTATGTACATTAACAATGATTTGGGACAAAATATGATGTAATTTAGTGGACTATGTCTATTTTGAACAGCCAGGGTTTGTACATTCATAGAAAAAACACATTTTTCCTCTACGACAATAGAAACCCTTTATGATCCCAGAAATTTGTCTCAGACAGTAAGATCGTGGCCAAAATTGCTGTCCACACCAAACTTGTCAACACAATGCTGAGGTGTTATTGGTGGTCACCAGTGGTTTTTAGTTCTTTGCTATGGGGTTGTTAGGATTTTGCTAGGCCCAAGTCAAGATAATGCTCAGGTCTCTCCTTCAAGTCTAGAGGAGTCTTTGTCTGTTTGGTTGTCCACCAGGTGCAAATCTCAAGTTTGATCAGTTTTAAAAAATGTGTCTGGTGCCCCCATGTCATTACCAGCAACCACATGTTTGCCTGTTTACCCGTTCCCAACCACTGCCAAGACTAGCGCCTGGTGGATAAATGAAAATAAACCGAATCCCAAGGGAAGTTGGGTGTTTTGTGGTTTGGTTGAGTGTTGAGAGCTCAGTCTCTAGGATACTCACGGGGAGGTTCTTGCGTTTGCGGCCAGGCCGTCGAAAGAAGTGTCTCGAAATGGTGATATGCTCACCAAGGCTGCATTTATTTGATCAAAAATACAGTACAAGCAGTATTATAGTGAAATATTATCACAATTTACATTTTTTTTTTTCTATTGTAATTTTTTCCTGTGATGCAAAGCTGAATTTTCAGCATCATTACTCCAGGCTTCAGTGTCACATGATCCTTCAGAAATCATTCTAATATGATGATTGGTGCTATAAAAAATGATTAAAAAAAAAAGAATATAATAGTTTTAAAAAAAGAATAATACTAAAAGTTTATCATTGTTTATTATTATTCATGTCGAAAACAGCTGTGTAGCATTTATTTAAAACATAAATTGTGCATCCTTGGAAAATAAAATTATTCATTTATTTAAAAAAAAAAATCTGATCCCAAACGTTTGAACAGTAGCGTATTTGTGTTTTCTCATTTCTCTGTTTTGACATTTAGATTGCATTTGCCATCATCTAACGCTGACTTAAATTTAATCCTTAAAAACACTAATAATTTAATAACACTGGTAAATGTAATCTAGTGAATCTCAAAATCTAATAAATCTCTGTAATATTTTAATGTCTAAATTCCCTTTAAAATGACTGATTTTAACAATAAAATTTGTTATTTATTTTCAATGCATTTAAACAAAACAGTAGAGTTTATCAGTTATCAGCCATAACGTGAAAATAATTATCAGCTTATAGATCAACTCAACCTTAATTTTTTACAATATGTATTTTCAACCTTTACACACAAAAACATGCCAGTACACACACCAAGACTTAAATTCGTTGAACGAGAATTTTAAATATCACTCTATCTTTCACGCCAAGGTTATTTAGCTAATGAGAAAAGCCAATGTTTGAATGGCATCGTCCTTTTAGCCAAGCTAAAGTGTGGGGTGATACAGCTGTGGAGAGATCCCGAACTCTCTGGGCTCTCTCCTGACACAGTTACAAAGACATTCAGTGGTTCATTCTCTCCCCTCATTCACTTTCTCTTTGTTTAACACAACCGTGTCTTCCCTCCTCAACAATAGCCACTCTTCGTCCAGCCAAGCACCCTAGGGCGGACGGGAGAGAAAAGATGATCCTAATGTATCCGCTGCAGCAGCTTCAGGGCTGGGATGAATCAAACCACCGGCTCTAAATCAGAATGCTAATGAGGATGCTGTCCCCGTCTGCCATGACTACTGAGAAGTCCAGCATGGCCGAAAGATGGCGGGACACCACTGGAATTTCATATTATTAATGCATAATGACGCTGATATGAAGCAGAGTACAAATAGCATCTCAAGTTACCTAAAAATGTACAATTAAATTCAAATCAATGTTTTATTGAAATATATTTAGATTTAAAATATGATGCATATTTATATTTTATTATTTTTTAATATATATCTATTTACTTAAAATCAAGAGTTCTGGAGAGTTAGCATTGCTCTTTCCTGTGACAGTCTTTCCACATATTTTATGACTAAAAGAACCCTCACACAATGTTCTCATTAAGATACAATTAAACAAACAAAATGTTTAAACAAACAAAAACAAAGGGTGTGCACAGAAATCGACGTTGCCTTGTGTGAACTCAGTAACACCGTATACATCTTTGCTCTATTTCTGTCGGCAGCCGGTTATTTAAGGCAAGAACTGTTGCCAAGCAACAGGACTACGAGCGTAGCGCGGGTCCATGGGTGCAGGGGTGGGGAAGAATGAATTCCCCTGTAAATCAGGCAAATGCCAGGCAACACCCACGTCACTAAACGCTCGTACGAAACAGAGCAGACACTATCTCTGATAACAATTCACTCCTGTTTACTAATTATGTTCACCGGAGCCTCTACGCTGACACTCGATAGCCCCGCAAGTCACTGCCGTGGAAATGAATCATGTCAAATTAAAATGATATACTGAATGAAATACTGTAGTGATGGATTTGAGGGGAGAGTTAAAGGGACAGTTCACCTAAAAATGTTATTCTGTGGAACATGAAAGAAGATATTTTGAGAAATGTGTTTTCATTTTGGAAGCCGCCAAAACTGGTCGGTTCTTCAAAATATTTTCTTTTAATGTTCCGCAGAAGAATAAAGTCATACATGTTTGGAACGACACGAGGGTGAGTAAATAACAACAGAATTGTAATTTTTGGGTGAGCTACCCCTTTAATTGTGACATGCAACATGTCAGATATCTGGAAAATGGAAATGCATAAAAAGATATTATGCAAGAAAATTAATGAATATGAGTTCTTCTGGAAAACAAACACTTTTAAAAGTAATCTTATATAGGGAAACCCATTCAATATTTTGTAATTTTTCCATGGGGTTTTTATATGTGACCTCTTCAGCAAAGGAGTCTAAACCATTAATAATGAGGGGACAGGTCACCTTAACTTAAAAAAATGTAACTTTGCCTTGTTTCTTTATTTGCACTATAATAATTAAAGAGATTCGTTTTGGTTGGCCGCAGTGGTAAGAAAAAAATGGTTGTTGATCGCGCAAAAACGACAGCTTTAGGACCAAGCTGGAGCAGCTGCCAACCGGCTCCATCAGCAGACGAATGTAATGAAAAAACGAACGCATAATCGGTAAAAAGTTCTGTTTATCACTTGCTCCTACTGGCTGAATGTTATACCGCATAACTGTAATTACTAGACGACAACCTGGACATTTACTCTGAGCTGTTCGCATACAACAACAATACTAATACCAAAAAAAATCTATTTAATCTGAGTAATCAATAGACAAAACCACACTACAACAAGTACAGGTCGTTTTTCAAATGCCTCATTAATGAACTTGTAGTTTATTTAGTGTAACATTACATAATTATTCAGCTTTGTGCTAGCTTCATTATATTGAATGTTTTCATTTATTTATAAAATATTTTTTTTATATTCTTGCATTAAGACATTAACAATACGCAACAACAGGATTATAATTAAATGGAATATTACATAATATTATTCAAGACATTTTGAGTGTTTCTACATGATGTTGCAGCTCTTAGGTTGGAGGATCTCAGAAAATTCAGAGTTGTAATTATGAGTTCTACGAGGATGTAAAGGACATTTTACAAGCCAGAAACTCGTAATTATGGTAATTCCAACATGGTACTACCCTTATGCTAGTCAATATTTAAAATGTCAAAATCATTCATATTAATTTAAGGATTCCATGTTGCATGAAGATTTATAAGATGTCACCACCACTTTTCAAATCATTGCAACAACCATTTTCATCAGTATTATGCATAAATATCGCGACAGTTTTTTGAAGTAACATTAATTTTGAAGGTTTCAGTTAAAAGACACATTGTCGTTTTATTTTCAAAGCTAAAGAGCATTTATAAAATTCTAGTCGCTGCATATGCAAAGTTAGCGTAGGCGTTTCGAAACACAAGACATTTCAGTGACAGACGTGGTAACTAGCCTTATTTCAGGCAATACACAGCAGGCCGAACATAAAAATGTCCAGGGACTCATTAACCTCTTACCATTTGATTTCCGGTCGTGTCACAGTTGAAGTCGGAGCTCTTGAATGCGGCGGCGGCGGTGACTGTGTTGGACGGCATCGCCAAATGAGTGACTGTTGAACACAATGCAAAAGTCGAAAAAGATCAAAACAAAAATAAAAGAACAAAAAAGGCGAAAAAAATGATGACCCTCCTTCTTTAGGATCCCCTGTGAAAAGGAACACCATAATCAGAAGAAACAGCACTCGAACACAACATTCAGAATAAAAAGACACATCCAGAAGATTAGAATAATAATACAATCATTCGTTAATAATAAAAAGTTGCCCTCAAATATAAGTGAGATGAGGTGCTTTCAAACTTATATTAGCAACTGGACTTCTTAATGTTTGTTAAGTAAGTAAAAAATCTATGTGTATGCAAATATTAGGGAATAAGACATCACATTCAGGTCGTGAATGAGAAATCAACCTTAATTACATGTAATTTTTCAGTCTAATACACCAGAAAATAAGGTATTGATGAGTTGACTCAAAATGTACGCATTCTCCGACTGCTACATGAAAATCCTTCTCTGAGGTGAAATATGAACTCTTCGCTTTATGGTATTTCCTATTTTCTTCCTCAGAGCAGTTTTAAAGGGATCTGTACATTTTATTCTTCACTCCCATGTATGTGTGCTTCAATGTGCTTTCTCTACAAGTAGGACACCAAAGTCCCATGAAATTAGATTTGGAGGTCAATCAATTAGGCGAGTCTATCGTTAAAGGAATAGTTCACCCAAAAATTAATACTCTGTGTCTTCTGAATTCTTTGCTTACTGTAATGTCATTCCAACTCACACAATTTCCTTTCTTCCGGTGGAAAACAAAAGAAGAGGTTTAGCAGAATGTCCATGCCGCTCTTTTCCAGACAATGAAAGTAAATGGTGACCAGGGGCTGCAAAGCTCCAAAAATGACAAGAAGCATCATAAAAGTCATCTAAATGATTTGTGCGCTACATCCAAAATCATACTTTCTTTGTGAACCAAACCAAAATTTAAACTGTTGACTCTGAAATCTCAATCATGTAAACATATTTATTCAAAAATGACATATTAGGAAACAGGCTTGACATTTATTATGTCAAACGTCATGTCATTGGACCTTATACCTCTTGTAATCAATAAAATTTGATTATGTATGGGATTTTAAAATACGACCGTCTGTTCCTAAAAACCTATATGGCTTCGGAAGACTTAAAATAGTGCCACTGGCTTGTGAAGTTGTGAATGACATGAGGGTGAGTAAATTACAGTATTTTCATTTTTGGGTGAACGATCCCTAACTTTTACCAAATAAAAAAAAAATCACAGTAGTAACCATAAAGTAGTTTCTGCCCACAGATACATTATAGTGACTAAAATAAGGTAACTTGATATTGCTATTTTCATTCAAACGGAGGAAAACTCTTGAAACTGGACATCCCATATTAACTTATTATTATTTCACAGTTCTAACAATAACTGTAACTATAGTATTTTAGTAAACTCTGGTCTCCACAGTACAGTACATAAATACAAGGGTAATGGCCAGAGTCATTAATATTCAATAACCGGTGAGATGTGTCACAGGTATCCAATCACAAGGTGTTAATTGATCACGTGTCTACCATAGTCCGTAACTGCATAAAAAGCTCTTTCGATCATCCGCCTACTCGGATTATTCGGCCTTTATAAATGATAGTCATTTCCAACAGGCCAAGGCGGCTTAAATGTGACCCTTTCAAAAACTAGGTTATCTGCCTACCTAGACAGCACATTTGGGCACCTTCAGCGTGTCTTTTGGCATTTTTGGGCATCATAAGCGCTTGCAGAACAAAATGATTATCAAAAATGCTGTCTAGGTAGGCAGCTCGTTAGGTTTTGAAACACAGCCATTGTTTCAAATCGAGTGGACTGACGCTACGCTTGCGAGGAGCTACAAATGAACGGTCATCAAGTTCCAGAGCATATCACGGTGTATTAAGTCGCACATCTGTAAGAGCAGGAAAAACCACTGGCCACATCGAGCCGCCCCCCTCCGTATCGCCCCGAAAAACGGCCAGCCCCACGGCGGAGACTTATTTCGATGGCGGCTTTAGGTTCTAGACAAGTGGATCGCAGTGTTAATTACCCGCTTCGCCAAGTTCCACGCCTGACCCCTTTTTTGTTTTCGCTGACTCCCGGATCCTCCTTCTGCTTCGCTCTCCCCGTCCTCCACCACCTCCCCAGCCGGCCAGCTCTCCTCCAGATGCTCCGCTCTCACTGACTGCAGAGGCCGCTCCGGCAGCAGCTCCGCGGGTCCTAGAGTCAGTCGGGTACGGGGATAGGGTTTGCTTGTCAGAGAGAGGCATCATCATGATCCAAGTCTTCCTTAAAGTCGGCATGAAATCATCCTATCTATTTTCTAAATGCATATTGTTCTTGATCTTATTGCGAACGATTTAGCTTTGTATGTTTTGTTTATTGATTAATTAATTTATTTTAAATTCTATCAAAATGTCAGAACTGGACCTTAGTGACGGTCTCTTCTCTGAAGATGTAGGCAGGACTTCTCCAATCATTTAGTCCGGTTATTTAAACCACGCCCCTACAACTTCAATTTTTAAAGCAACGCCCACACGTCATCATCCAATCAAGTCCTGCCCTATATTTTTTTCTTTTTCAATAATTTGTTAAGGCGAGGTGTGTTCACGCCATGTCATAATTATGAGATTCCAACTTGTAAAAAACACTCACATCCTCATAGGCCTACTTGTAAAACTCGCCGTGTTAGGTGCGTTCACGCCATATCGTAATTATCGTAATTACGACATACCAACTTGAAAAAATCGTTCACGTCCTCGTAGAACTCGTAATTACAATTTGTGAACTGGGAGTTTGGCTTGTACCACGTGAACGCTGCATCTCATGCGGAACCAGAGACAAATAGCGGCACTTCCAGTAGTAAAATATAATTAAGCAGTTATTTCGTAATATTTATGTTTTAAAATTTGTGTAATTGGCTTTTGCCAATGTAGATGTCTTCATACAAAAGTAATGTGAACATAAAAGACATGCAGCACAAAGTTAGATATCTATGCTATCCATGTAACAACAAAGACTATAGAATACTTAAAGGGACTTTGGTAATACCAACCTAAAGAAATAATTATAAAGTTTAATAAAATCGCATTTGCATAGCGACTGTTACGAATTTTACAACTGCCAGTAACATTCTTTCACGCGGGTTCATTTTGTTGACTGTCACTATAGAAATGGATAATCCCCAATCCAAGGATGTGAACAGCACCGAGCTGAACGTCAAGTGTTAACATCTCGGAATTACGTTAATTACGACATGGCGTGAACCTTGCATTAATTACCGTTATTCTGAGATTACTGTATTCTACAGTCTTTGTTGTTACATGGATAGCCTAGATATTTAACTTTGTGCTTCGTGTGAATATGAATTTATATTCACATTACTTTTGTATGAAGACATCTACATTGGCAAAAGTCAATTACACAAATTTTAAAACATAAATATTACAAAATAACTGCTTAATTACATATTACTACTGTAAGCGCCGCAATTTTTCTCTGGTTCCACGTGAGATGCAGTGGTCACGTGGTACAAGCCGTAGCCCTCAGAAAACACCAAATTCACAAGTTGTAATTACGAGTTCTACGAGGATGTGAACACTTTTTTTCAAGTTGGTATCTCTTAATTATGATATGGCGTGAACGCACCTTTACACCTTATAAGGAATTCTCTGACTTGTATCACCTGATTCTGAAAATGTGAATGGCACCGAGTAGAACGTCATGAGTTTTCATCTCAAAATTACGGTAATTACGACATGGCGCGAGCGCAGCATTACACTCGGATTTAGCTGTGTTCATGCCATGTCGTAATTACCGTAATTTCGAGATAACAAAAACGTGACATTCTGCTCGGAGCTGTAGCACATGAATGTGCAGTGGTCAGGTGGTACAGCGGTCATGTGGTCTATGTCGCTAATTACGATTCATTGCGACTTTGACCTTTTGGAGGCTACTGTCATATATGTTCATACATCAACAGAATGTGGTTGGATTTTTTATATGTCCACACAGTTACGTTTTTTTAGAGACGAATTGAAGGCATCACTTCGGAACCCCGGAATAACATGTGGGAATAAAAATAAATAAATTAAAGACATTATGGCCACAAATTAAGAATAATTCGTACAATTTATTCCCCCCCCCCCGTGTTAAACTGTGTCCCTTTAACTACGGGCACAAATTAATAAACTGGGGGAACAAATTAGTACAATGTGGCCACAAATTAAAGGGGTCATATGATGCTATTTCAATTTTTCCTTTCTCTTTGAAGTGTTACAAGCTCTTGGTGCATAAAGAAGATCTGTAAAGTTGCAAAGACTAAAGTCTCAAATCCAAAGAGATATTCTTTATAAAAGTTAAGAGTTAACCACACCTACCTAAAACGGCTCATTCTAACACGCCCCCACATGTCTACGTCACGATGTGGGAAGATTTGCATAATGCCTCCCAAATGAAAAGAAGAAGAAAGAGCAACGCAACGTGTAAAAAGACAGTATAAGTCATTATAATCTGTAATTATGTCCCCACTGGATGCAACGAATGCCTCGTTTATAATGGGTTTTCATGTTTTTGAATCATCGCTCCGGCCTGACAGGGCATCATCACAATATGGCAAGGGGCGTAACATTTCTGTCTCACGCTTGAGGTATTCGGCCAATCATAACGCACTGGATAGCTGGCCAATCACAGCACACCTCGCTTTTCAGACCAATGAGCTTTGCGTTTCAGAAAGGTGGGGCATAGAGGAGAAACAATAACGTACAGTATGTGGAAAATAATGTGTTTTTTTAACCTTAAAACGCATAAACACATTTCATTACACCAAATAATGTTCTTTTTAGCAACATCATATGACCCCTTTAAAGATGAGGGAACTAATTAATAAATCCAGGGAATTCATTAATAAATTGTGGGGCTTTGTACATTATCTTATTTACACATTAGCTGGAATATGCCTGAAAAAAATGGTTTAGCTTGATTTGAGCTAAAAAAAAAATTAAAATTTTTTTTTTATAGATGTAGCAGCTGTACTTGCATAATTACTGTAGCTGCTACAGGGCATTAGTTTCAAGTGCATAGACTTGCCTTAAAAGTGATTTATAAGGTATGTTATTAAACAGAGTCCCTTGAAATTTCAGGGCGTTCATTTTCAGTAAACCTGAGTGAACTCAACCATACTAGACGATATAGTTCACCCAATATGAAAACATGGTAAACATGAGGCAGTTTAAGGTATAGTTCACCCAAAAATGAAAGTTCTGTCATCATTTACTCACCCTCAAGTTATTTCAAACCTATATTCATTTCTTTCTTTTGTTGAACAAAAAAAGTAAATAAAAGTAGCCATTGCCTTCCAAAATACTATGGAAGTCAATGGCTGCTGTCAACTGTTTGGTTAAAACATTCAATTTTTTATCTTTATCTTTTGTGTCCAACAGAAGAAAGAAACTAATTCAGGTTTGGAACAACTTGAGAGTGAGTAAATGATGACAGAATTTTCCTTTTTGGGTGGAACTGTCCCTTTAAACTGTCTCATGTTTGTCATGTTTTCATATTGGGTTAAAAAACTGCTTTAATTGCATCTTTTTTGCACACAATACAAGTGATTCTGTCTAACTTTTACTTCTGTGCTGCACTATAAAGACAGCAAGTCATATCGACTTGGAATGACATGAGATTAAGGAGTTAGGAAAGGTACAGTTTTCATGGTTGTCCACGGCATAATGGTAAATAACTCATACACTGATTTTGTAACTCAATGCTTAAATTCACATTTAAATTTTATGGGTGGCCCCGCCATCACAGGATCCCCTTGACGACAGATCTGAACTCAATCCTAATGGAGCTATGATATATTATTCTGTGGACACACACACACAAACACTCAATGTCCTTTGAAGTTTTTTTCATATATTTTACACTTTAATAGTATACAAAAACACATATGGGTGACGTAAACACAAATATGGACGTAAACCATTGCAATCAATGATTGTTTACAGCAGCAAAACCATCAAATTAAATAATTAAACAGTGATTGTAGCTTCAACTGACAGTTTGGAATTTTAAAACAATAAAATCACGAGTTGCCAAAGAAATGAAAACCTGATGGTGCGGATTTTGTTTTTGAAATATTGTTTCGTCTAACTTTGATAACATAGGAGGTCCTCCGTTGGAGGCCCATCTGTAACATATAAATTCGCAATGATGCTTGAAATTGATTTCAAGCTGGGTTCCTTCCGCTTACACTGTATTGTGTTTCAACCATTTAAGGCACCCCGTTATTAGTTACCCTCTCGGTGGACTGCTTCGGTAAATTCATAATCAATAAATTGTGGTTTAACACGCACAAATACACAGAACAAATACCTAAAGGACACACTACAGTTTGGCACAACTTTTAAAGGCAGAACAATATTTTTTTCCAAAGATCACAGATAAATAATGACTGCATTCCGACTAAGTCACATACTAAAACTCCTATCTAAGGGCTGACTTGCACATGTGCAGAATATTTTCTTTTATACAGCACTTTATACAGTACATCTAGGCACACACCTACATCAGAAGATTGCATTCATATTTGTAGCAAATGTTGGAACATAATCAAACTCTCAAACTTGCCATCTGAGAGTATTTCGTACGTTGTCGTCCAAGCTTAAACAATAACAATAAATTCCCAACTACATTTTATATTCCTTTCTTTGAAACACAGAACGAGCATTATGATATGTAAAATCTGATTTGAAAAAGCAAATATATATGATTGCACTCACTATAACAAAAGCAACACTTTTTCCAGTGTAACACACTGAATGAGACCTCACTGTTCATATTAGTCATTCAAAAGACTTCCTTATGCAGAATTACAAGCATTTTAGAAAAGTAATAAACAGTGAATGAATCATTTCATCTAATGACCCTCATAAATGTCAAAGAATCTTAATATTCTACACCAAAACTCACTTTAAGCTGTTGCTCAATGGATGTATCTAATTTAACATTTAAAAGTTAGCAGTCATAAACAAAACTTTTTTAAAATAATGGTTATTATTTCTTATTTGAAACCAAACTAACAAAGAACAAATCACAAGTTTAACACAATTACATACTTATAATAATTAGATAAATGTCATTATTGAACCTGAATTCCTTCTGATTCAAGTACAGTAAGTCAAACTCTCTTCCTCACGACTATAAAGCTTTAGACGCTAAGCATGTCTTCTTCCTAACACTGCGTGTCCATGTCTGATGTGCAACACTATGGAAGCCATTTCTGTCACATAAGAAAGAAAAATTCTGCTTTTGTAAATCTTAATTATAACATTAAAAGCCAAAATTATGACATACTGGCCCGGTTTCACAGACGGGGCTTAGCTTAAGCCAGGACTAGGCCTTAGTTAAATTAAGATATTTAAGCAGCTTCTATAAAAATGCCATAGAAGAAAACATTACATGTGTGCATCTTGAGACAGAACAATGGAACTGACATTTTTTAAGATATGTCGGAGCAAGATATTTTCAGTTGAGACTTTCAGCTCAAACATGCATTTCAGTCTGGGACTAGCCTTAAGCCATGTCTGTGAAACTGGGGGACTAAGTCATAATTATGAGATAATTCAAAATAATGAAAAAAGCTGACATTTTGAGTTAAAAAGTCAAACTTTTGTCAGTCATGACTTTTTCTCATAATTTTGGCTGTCATAATAACTAACGTTTTATCTCATAATTATGACAGTATGTCACAATTTAGACTTTTTGTCAGTATAATTCATAACTTTGAATTTGATCTCATACTTTCGATTTTTTAACTTATATTTGTGACTTAGTATATGTCATAATTTGTCAGTTTTATGTCATAATTATGTTTTTATCTCCGTTTCAACTTTTTGTCATAATTTTGACTTATTTTGTCATAATTTTGACTTTTTATCTTATATGACTTAGCATGTCAATTTCAAATTTTATGTCAAACTTTCGACTTTTTATGTCATAGTTATGTTTATGTTAGAATTTTTTATTTTATTTTTGTGCTTTTTTTGCTTTTATTATTTTTATGCTTTTATGACCATTATGATTTTTTATCTCAGTTTTGACTTGTCATAAGTACGTATAACTTATCTTATAATTCCAAATGTTGTCATAATTATGAATTTAATCTCATAATTATGGCTTTTTTATCTTATAGTTATGACTTAGTATGTCATCATTTCAAATTTTGCGTCAAACTTTCAACTCTTTTTATGTCACAGTTATATTTTTTATGTTAGAATTATTTGTATTATTTTTCATGCATTCATTTTATGGCACAATTGAATGACAAGATTTTTTGTTTATCTCAATGTTGAATTGTCATAATTATAACTTACCTCAATTTCAACTTTTTTTTCATAATTATGGCTGTTTTCTCATAATTTCAATTTTTGACTAATCTCATAATTTTGACTATTTATGGCATAGTTTTGACTTTTTATCTTATAGTTATGATGTCATAATTACAAATTCCCAAAGCATTTTTTCTTATGTGGCAGAGATGGGCTTCCATACAACGATCCTGTTTTCTACACTCAGCCGTTCCATAAAGTTTTTATGACCGGTGCTAATCTTTGACATTTGACCCTTGTGGTGTCAAAGTAAATTCCACCCATTTGTTCACAAGCGTTGCTACCGCGTTCCTCTCTCAACAGTCCCTGAGCACTGGTTTCATTTATTTTACACGAGTATACACAATAACCGAACTCAATAAAGCTTTTGAAGTAACTTTTACAGAGACGTGTGCACTCAAAGATGGCTGGCTAAGCTGGTTTATGGATATACGGAACATACATCCGTATTCCATTAAAGTCCCTTTATGCTCTCCAAAAATACAGAGATACATATGCGATACTCTAAACTAAGAGGCAATACCGAAGCGCTAAAACAACGGCCACAACGACGGGCTAAACTTAACACAGTAGCAGAAATCCCAGACAAACGGCGAGCTCTACGAGACGTCCCTGATATATGGTGGTTCGGATGCGTGTGATGCAGAAGCAGCAGTTTGATGATCAGAAGACTACAAGGAGCGACGGAGCAGGCATCACTCGAGTCGGCCGGAATAAATGTCACATGCAGAGAAAATACGAGCCCTCTCCATCTATCCAGTAGAGCCACTCCATGCATCAAAACACAAAAAATCATCACTAGTTATACAAAAAAGCTTCCTGTGTGGGGAACATCTGGAAAAATAGCTACAGCATAGATCGATTTGAGTGACGTCATGAAGATGCACAGTGCGTTCGTTTCAGAGAGTAGTAATCACAAAGTCATAAAGGTTTTTTAAGAAAGCACAAACAAGCCATTCTCATGGGTAATGTGATAACAATGGGTTTATACAGATAGACATAGAGCGATATATATATATATATATATATATATATATATATTTA